CCTAGATCTTCAGATAAAAAAAAAAAAATAAAAAAAAAAAATAAATAAATTCAGGATGGTATCTTTGTTATTTATTAACAAAATTTTTTTTGATAAACTTAATTAATACTAATAAACAGTAATCAGTCTCTGAAGAATTAGAAATAATGAAACTGATTATCATGTTGGGAGAACGAAGATTACTTATACGTGATATTAAATGCTACATATTATTTTTGATATATATTTTTTTGTTTATGACTATGAATATTGCATTAAATTCTTAATAGTCCCCCTCAGGGAACTTGTCGTCTCGAAACACTTCGATCAACGAATGTTCTTTGATCAATGTTATTGAGATTTCATTTGTGACGACTTGTTTGATTTCTTCTCTTTAATTCGAGAAAATTGCGTCGATTGTGAAAATGAGGGGGTTTTTGATGGCGATGATGATGGGCTATAACTAGGAGTACTTTCTTCAGTGTCAGTTAGTTCAATGATATTTGATTTTTTAGATTTTTTAGATTTTTTTCTCAAAATTTTAAAGAAGGAAATATAATGTTAAAATGAAATAGGATAAATAATGCACGCTCAGAAAAGACCTAGATCAAAATCAGATCTAATCCTTACGATACTGATCCTGCTGCAGGACGTCCCCTCTTTCTTTTCTTCTGACTGGACATACCAGTACAATGATCACAGTACCATCTGCCTTCTGGAACTGCGGAAAGTCCAACGCAGTCAATATGATACCACTCAAAAGGACAATTCTGATTTTTAAAAGAAAATATTAATTTTATAATAACTAGATGATGTAAAGAATAATGTGTTTTTATTACATACCTCACCATCGCAACCGATCATTTCCCCAAAACTCACTTGACGACAGGTACAATATAACGGCTCGTTTGGATCAACTGTCGGTATGTAGTTTGATAAAACTAGAGTGTTATCATATGATACCGCGGAGTCATCCTGATCCAGAAGGTTGGCATTGCTAATGACATTTGGATCCGCGATAGATGAGGATCCCGAAAGTTGTTCTTCTCTTAACTTATGAATACCTCTAGAGAGGTAATTGTTATTAATTGCGCTTGTCGCAATTTCGGTATTAGAATTAGTGATGCCCTGAACATTACTATAGTTTACAATATAAAAAGTTTCAATAAATAAAATCATGGATATGAAAATTTATCATAAACATCAAAACATACCTTAGTTTTCGACGTCTACCATTATTTGCACCGCTTGCTGAAGCTATTGACAATAGACGGCAGTTTAATAATAGCAGAATCTTTTTAGACATAACAAATGTAAAAAAATGTCTAATAATAAACGAGATCAATCAAAAGGAATAAAGAAAAAAAAATCTAGAACGTTCGTACCCTTATTAGCTCGGGGTAAAGAGCTCGATGGGTTGGGTAGCATTGGCAATGCTAAATAAAGCAATAATAAAAAGCATTATAAATGACTTTTCTTAAAGAAAATGTATAAGAGAATAAAAAGGTATCATAATCATACAAAATTGCACTTCCTCAGATTCAGCGCTTGAAGAAGGATAATACGATCCTTTATTATACTCGTACGTCGTATTAGGGAAATTCGATGAAGCGGCTTGTGCCAAAGTATGTGTTGATGCTGAATGTGCTGTATTTCGAACAGTCGAATTTGTTAAGACAGAAGCACTTGAATGTACTATCCCCTGAGCTGCGGCAAAAGCCGAAGATTCGATTCTACTAGGACTTGCAGGGGTTGACGCTGAAGAATCGCGAAGATTGTGCTGTGGAAACAAGCTTTCAAAATCTTCGTCAAGACGTTTAATATGCCTCTCAACCTTTAAACGTTAACAAAAATAAATCTCATAAGTTTCTAAACGAGAAATAATGTTCTTATATAAATATAGTTTGATTTATTTAAATGAACCAGTATAACGTAAATTTTACCAATGCGAAAGCCCTCTCGGCAAGCTCGATCTTCTCGTCTTGCAATTGCGACGCCCTCACATAATCCTTAATTATCTTCTCTTTCAGCATTTCTTCGTCTTCGAATTCGGTAACAACACGTGTTACTCGGCGTCGTTTCTTTATAATTTGTTCGCCGTCTTGATCGTCGTCAAAACAATGATCATTATCGCTATTCGATTCCTCAACGCCATCATCGTCTTCGTAAATGCTTTCAACGACAGAGCAATCGCTGTCTTCGTCAATAGGACGATCATCATACAAATTCCACAACCGCTTTTTACGACGTTCAATTCTTTCCATCAATCCTATATAGAGGGATATTTATGGATAAAATTATAAGATGACCTTAACTTGATTCCCAAAAAGGAAATCTATAACCAAGCCATACCACTTTATTTACAACTTTACTTACGTTCGATTTCTTGATCCTTGTTTGATAGTTCAGAGAAGTGATAATGGATTTCTGAGGGAAGATTATCAATACCTTTGAAAGTATTTTATGATAAACACGTTAATTTACGTTTGATTCGATGAAATTTTTAACGGCCAAACGTCAAAATAGAAATATGAAAGAACACTAATCTTACTTCCTAAGAACTGTATTAAATACTCGTTAGCGTCTATTGGTTCCATATTTACAAAAAAAAAAAAAGAATATTATGATAGCAGTAAAGAAAAGCCTTTGTTTGAGAGATTTTCACAGTAGGAAAAGTTCAACTTGTCTTGATAACATCAGAATGAAACAAAATCAACCAGGAAAGGTAACGAAATTAGTATATGATTCAATGGAATATTTTGAAAACTATTAAAATCATGAGGGTGACAAATGATTGGTTGAATAAATCTGTGGTCAGACGGTCAGACCATTAAAATCACGCGTTGTACAACAGCAATGAAAGTTGCCCAATTTATCGCATAATTTGTATAAATTACTAGATTTAGCAAAATATTACCCTTGTTTACCATTGCAGAACCTAAAAAAAAAGTTTTTCGAAATTATAGAATCATGGGGAATGATGAGAGTAAAGAATAATGGAATTAAAGATCAATGTCGATCGTTTTACACTTATCGGATCTAACTTTGCAGATACTAGCGCTCTAAGCAAAAATAAGTACGTGAATGGCGGCGTAGTATCATTTAAAATAATTTACGATTAAATGTGTAATTATACTGTCACCATTTCATCACTTTTTTTACTCGCCATTGAATAAATTTAATATAAAAACCCGAAATTTTACATTTTTTTTTTTTTACAAAAAAAAAAAAATTCAAAAAATCCTAAAAAGATAAATTAAATTAAATAATTATTTTATCCTCCATAAAATTTAAACTTCGAAATATTTTTTTTTTTTTTCACCCAATACAAAAAAAAATATGGCATCAGGACCTGTAGGAGGAGGAATTGCAAGATCTCGTTCGGTATGGCGTTTCTTATCCATTGATCCAGAAATTTATCCTCTACTTGGGGTATTAGCAACCACCTTTGGTATAGCTGGATATATGATGGGTCGTAAAGCAGCCAACACAAATGAAGAGAAAAATGTGAAATTGGCTAAACACGAACCATTTCCTTGGCATGCTGGTACTAGTGGAGGAAGTAATGATGGAGGACAGGATTATAAATATAAATTTCATAAATATGGAGATCTTAATCAAGAGCCTATTAAAGCTCCAAGTGCCGACACTTCACATATCGTACAAGTAAAATTGCCTAAAGACGACGCTCAGAAAGTCGAAGAAAAATTAAATAGTTCATGAATATGTAGTGAAAATCAAAATGTTTTTTATAAGAAAATTTATTCGACTTTGTGTAATAGATTTATTTTATTTTCTTAAAAATATATAATGTAGGACTTGCTTGGTTTGTTTTCATAGCCAATTCAACATTTTACGTAATAAATATTTGCCCCTCAAATTGGGCAATTTTCACTTTTCAATATATAAGTTTCTACCTTGTTTTAGGAAATGGATATCACACAGTTAACGTACAAAACATGGGTTAAAAATCGGTTTGTGTGAGTCAAATGTAATTGCTTATGTCAACAAGATCAGCCTTTACTCTTTTAAGGCATTGTGTGACATATTGTCAATCCCCTTTTTTTCCTTTTCTCGAATGGATTTATTGAAAGAACTGTCGAATGTTAAACTTTTACCTTCATTATTCGTATTTGATCTCGATTATACTCTTTGGCCATCATGGTACGTTTTAATATTAAAAGACGCAAAGGGCGTATTGTAATTTATTAATTCCAATTCTTTTTCAGGATAGATACTCATACCTCTGGCTCTCCTTTCAAAGCCGATCCTTTCAAACCTCATTGCGTTAAAGATCGGTAAGACTTATTAATTGATACCATAATTCTGTTCTTATGATTTAATTCAATCTCTTCTCTTTACAGTCATGGAAAATTATTAAAATTATACTCTGATGTTCCAGAAATTTTCCGATTGATTAAAAACTGTCCAAAACCCCACATTGCTGTTGCATCAAGAACTCATGAACCAGAATGGTACACATGATTTGCTTACAATTCGTTCACTCATTCATAAACATTGCAATTTACTCTTTTTTTTTTTTATTTTAAAATAAATTTACAATGACGTTAGGGCATGCAAGGTCTTATCAATTATGCCTTTCCCTGCGGATGAAGGTTGTGATTCAATTAAGAACTCATCTAATGGCGTCAATTATCGCTCATTAGCCGACATCATTGATTATGATGAAATATATCCTGGTTCAAAGTTAAAACATTTTCGTTCGCTTCATAAGAAAAGTGGTATTCCCTATCATGAAATGATTTTCTTTGACGATGAATTAAGAAATAAAGAGGTTGAGCGAGAATTGGGTGTACATTTTGCTTATGTCCCGAAAGGGATGACGTTAAATCTATTTCTATCAGCGATAAAGGATTTTGCTAAAAAAGGAGAAAATCCTTAATTATCATTTTATTATTTTATTAATTAATAATCAATTCAATTATATTAGATTACAGTGATTAAGAAGAAAAAATGAATAATGAAATAAAGGTCCATCTAGGTCGAAATTATTTATATATTTAAAAGTAATCAATTCTTTCCGTGTCATCATTCCAATAGTTACTTTTTTTATCAAATTTGTACCCCTCCAATTCATAAGGCATCATATAAGGCATATATTTTGGAAAAATAAAACCGTACATTAAGGCCCAATAAAAAAGTCCGGACAAGGTACCGGTAAATTTCTCAAAAGACGTATGAAAATAAACTGCGGTCATAAGTAGCATCCACCACCAAAGAAAAAGTAGGCCTCCGAAAAGCTTAAAAAGAAATTTATTCTTCCAATTATTTGATCGATAAAAAAGAATGTTGGCATCTTCCAGAATGAAAAGAGAAGCATGAATCAACATAAAACAATGGCCACTAACATCATGACCATTATTCCAATCTCCTCCACCCTTTCGACAAACATGAGCTTCAAATATTTCTCCTGGCACTACTTTGGAACACTCGCCTCCGGTAAGCACAAACACCCTATCCAATAAACTTGGTCCAAACAACCATTGTGTAAATAAATACCAATACAGGGATGCCAATAGCAAACGAATTATAGCTTTTACGAATTGTTCCAGTTTATTAGTATGAATTAATATCGCATATATTATAAAAACTATAGTTGTCCAAAACCATCCAATTTTTACAAAATATTTGTTAATAAGGTTGGACCGGCTTGACCAATACGACTCGGGCGTCCTTGCAAATGAACCAAGCACAACTGTAATAACATAAAAGGAACCAAGAACACATTGTCCAATTATATGGTTCCGTTTATATTCGAGTTCTCTTTCTTCCTTTGATTTCTTCAACTGTCCCACCATTTTTTTTTTTTTTTTATTTGGGATAGGGTAAAAAAAATTGAAATTTATTAATAAAAAAAAACCATCTCGACACGTGAAAGTTTCATAATTGCAAATTACCCTTTGTGGGTAATAGATCCGTCAGTGATCTGCAAAATGCCGATTAATACTATAATTAAATAGGATCTTTGACACATTTTGCGTCAGAAAGTCAGAAAGAGATCATTTTTAAAGCAAAATGTCAGAGCATATAATGTCAGTGGATCAAACGCCGGATTCGCAAAACAAGGATGTCGATGAGTATGTTCCGATTCCTTAGCCAGCTGCTTAATTCAATAACAAAAGTTACTGACGTGTTCGATTTAAGTTTTTCACAAAACCTAGATCACTCACCTGGTGATTTGGACAATAATTCCGAATCATCGTCTATACGGCCTTCGGATATACCAACAAAAGGGGTTGTGGTTTGTATATATTTATTTATCAATTTTTTCTTTTATATATATCCTAAACTATTAAATCTTGACCACGATCTTTGTTCATTCCCTTTAGGCGTTTTCAATACTCTGCGAATTATTAGATGAGTGCATATTGGATGTAGCCTTTGAAGCTCATAGAGAAGCTAAATTGGCTGCGTCTGTATGCCAATTATGCAAATCGGAGTAAGTTTAATGAACTAATTATAAAAGCTTAATTTTTTTGTAAAGAAATAATATTTAATTCATGAATTTTTAGGTGTCGATCTTTTGGTATGTGATATAAAGTCCAATGCATTCTTTAATTGAATGTTTTCTACTACTTATTAGAAAAAGCATCAATGAGTAGTAACTCAACCGGGATTGGATATCTTCGGAAATCATCCTCAGCAAGATAATTCGCCGACATTTGAATGTGTAAATTGTCAACGCCCCTTTCCATCAAAGCGTTATGCTACACATCTGGAAAAGTGTATGGGTTTAGCGGGAAGAAGTTCAAGTCGTGTTGCGAACATGAGGTATGGAATAATGAATATCTTTTTTATTTAAGGAGTAAGAATTCAATTAGCTTTGACTTAAATTTAGAATGGGAAGCGAGAGAAATCCTTCATCTCCATACACTCCTACATACTCTGAAGATAATTTAAATCAAAGTGATTCCGATGGAGGTTTATACATCGAAAAAAAACGTAAGTTTAGGACTTATTTATTTTATGTTACTAGTCTTTTTAATTATTTAGGATAAATTTATTTAAGTATAATTTTTACAACAGGGAGGAAATTAAACGAAAAATCAAGAGTACGATTGTTACTTTTTATATACATATTTTTTCGGGGGGAGGGGTTTAAAAAATAAAAAAAATATTCATTATATATTTAATTTTTACTTTAGGGACAATCTCCTGCCAAGTATACAAAATCAAAGAAACAAAAATCGATAAGTGAGTAGCATATATTTGACTCTTAGGATAATTTAAAATTTAGATAATTTTTAATATATGATACGCTATTTTAAAGTTTCAGATGCTGTGGAAACTACTTCAACAATCTCGTCAAAGGTATTGAAAATTAAAGGGTTGATATTTCATTTCTTTTTTGTAATTAACGTACTAACATGAAAGATTAAATCATTATATTTTTTTTTTTAAAACAAAAAAAAAAAAGTTGAAACGTAAGTGTAAACCTGTGTTACTACTACTATGATTATTTCTCGATAATAAGGTTACTCTAAATTCATAGTACCATTAATGTTATCAGTCAGCTCAGTTTCAACACCCAATAGTCCAGATCGAGGTAATTCACCCATCAAACGTTCATTTTCTATGAATGAAATGGAATTTCCAGATGAATCAAAAGATATACAATATGGATATAATATTTCATATAACGGGTGTGCATATTTATTCACGTGATGTTTCGTAAATTTCAATTTTATTTACCACCATTTCTTTTTTAGGAATTTTGCATCAGTGGAAGATACTTCAACACAATCGTCATTTGCTGATAATGATTATATTGGTATGGATACATAGTTATATATAATTAATAAATATTATAATCCAAATCTTAATTTAGGTGATACTAATTTTGTCTAATTCCTAAAAGACATTGATGGAGATGATGATATTATTGAAGTGCTTCAAACATCCAATGATCCAAGACTTTTATAGTTTCATCTTTTATACCGGTTTCTTAATATATTTTAATTTGTTTAGTTCAATTCACAAATGAATATATTTAATATAAACAATTGGGTTTACAAGATGACCTTGTAAATAAAAGTATTAGAAATCTTTTTCATCTTTTTAATTTTTTTATATTTATTATTTTTGGTTAATGCTCTTTTTGATATAGAATTTCTGATTTCCCTCGGGAATTTTTTTTTTAAAAAAAAAAGTTGATTTTTCTCAATTAAATATTTTTTTTTTTTCCTTTTTTGTAATTATTCATTATTGAGAGAAATCATAGCATTTCCGATATTCATAATAATAAAAAAGTACATACGTTATGAATGAAACAATTTGGTATACACATAAATAAATTAAAAAAGAATATGCAAATCCAAGCTTATAAAGAATTTTTTCATTTTTTTTCATTTTTTTTTTTTGATCGAATATTATATTATTATTCTGTTCCATTTACATCATTTTCCTTCTCATCTTTGGTTGCTTTATTTTGCCAAAGACCATAGCTTTTTCCAGGGGTTGTCTAAATAATATAGACTAGATTAATAAAATTTTTTAATATAAATTAAGAAAAGAAATTTATTCATAATAATTTTACCTGCCACAATCTTATAGTACCATCCTCTGTATAATATAACATCATATTAATATATATATTAACAACGTCAATTCAAATATAATTGGTAATCACATACCTGAACCAGTGGCATAAATTTCACCATCTGGGCTATAACTTACTGTGTGAATTGGTCCATGGTGACCCTTATATACCTCTATTTATGTTATTTACGTGGAACGCATAATAATATATCAGTCGAATGTCACTAATTTAGAAAACTTCAAGAGTAAGTGAATAAGATACCAACCAAGTTCCTTGCCACTCTCAAAGTCATAAATTCTCACCCATAAGTCATTACTGCCACCTGCCACAAACCTTTTATGATCGGGATGTAAAGATACTGAAGATACATCATAAGCGGTCGTAACCGACTTAGAAACTTGATAACTAAATTAACCAAATAAAAAAAAAATTTCAATCAACCAGAAGTCAGATCTTGTTCTAAATTTAAATTAATACTTACGTTGAGGCATCTAGAAAATAAACAATTTTTCCAGCTGTCGATGTGATGTATTTACCATCGGCAGAAAGCTCCATACTAGTAATAGGGTGTTCAGTCTTAAAAGTTTGAACTTGGCTAAAACTACGAGCATCCCAAAAGCTTTTTTTTTTTAAAAAAAAAAAAAATTGAGGTTAAAGTTTGATTATTATAAAAACGCGTAAATTTCTATTGTAACTTACCGAATTTCTTTATCATCTCCTGCACTCATTACGACATTTCTTTCACCATCCCAAATAACACTCTTAATAGTAGATTCATGACCTTCTGCTTCAGAAGCTGGTTCTTCTGGCTTATTTAAATCATATATTCTAAGTTTCTTTTCTTGTCCGCCAGACACAATGCGCGTTCCATCATCTGAAATATCTGCTGAACGAACAATATGACCATGAGTAAATGAATGAAGAACTTCTCCAGTATAAGTATCCCATACTTTACTATAAATTTATATAAATTCAAAAATATACATTATCATTAATTATGATCGATATAAAATTAATTCATAATTTAAAGCATTACGTACGCGGTAAAATCAGCTGAAGCCGTCACAGCTTTAGATGCATCTTTGCTTAATTTTGCACTCCAGACAGCTCCTTTATGTCCCATAAATGTACCTATCCAATCACCCGTCGGACCATCTCGAAGCATAGGATTTCCATCTGAGGTAACGAGATTGTATGCGTTAGAAAACGTTTGTTTAATCGCCTAAAGGAAAAACCGGTATAGTATACCTTTACAAGCACTTATCAAATAATAAGTTCCGTCAGTGATGGGAGAAAATTGTAAATGAACAACTGGTCGAGTATGCCCTGAGCAAGTCAATGGTATCACTCTTGAAGGGTTTGTATTTGGTGGCTGAGGCGTCGTCGTCATATTAAAAATTGAAACCGAGATTCTATGAACTAAAATTTTTTAATCTGAAACTTTGATTTACTTATTGAGTTTAAAAGGATATAATAAGTTTAAATAAATAACATTTGCTAAAATTAAAAATTTCAAGCTTTAGACAAGCATCTATAAAAGGAGATTGTTGATTATGGTAAATAATATAATACAGTTTTTTTTTTTTAAAAAAAAAAAAAAAAAAAAAAAAAAAAAAAAAAATTGCTTCCCCCCTCGAGGGAAGGAAGGTGTTTGATTTTCAATAATAAAATTTTTTTTTTCACAAAACCAGGAGAGGGGGCTTACCCCATATAATTT